TGCGGGCCGGTGCGCGGTGCGCATGCACCGGGGCGGTGGCGTCCGGTGCGTCGGGGCGCCGGTGCGCACACCGAGGTGCTACACTGTTTGCCCCCGCAATCAAATCTTGCATCTTGTTAAAGTCGACAGAATGGTCGCGACAAGCTTCCAGCAGCAGCGCCGATCCTGCTAACTCGTGGCAGCAAGCTGCACCAATCTTCAGCTGATGTCACAGCCAACCCCCTAGCACCGATCTAGAATCGAGGCACCATACGACAGAGCTTGCCGCGCCACGGCGGCTGACCTCCCCAAGTCTGGTTCAACAGGAACGAGAGATACGTAGGTGGCCGTGGCCCTGCGCCTGTCGAGAGGCCTGCTAAGGAAAAGCACCATGGAGCGGAGCTCGAGCCAGTCGGCAAAGCGATGACACAAAAACAGGCATGCAGCAGCATGCACACAATCCGCCCTGCACAAGAAACTTATCGAAGCCTCTGCGAGATTCCTCACCTCCTGCGGAAAAACACTGCAGGCTACCCTCGCAAGCCCGTGTTCTAGACTTCGGGTGGGCAATCCTGCAAGTCCTTGGCCAAGCGGAGTCTGTCAGATTCCTCACAAAAATGCGACTGATGTCATTGCTTGTAGAGGCGGAGCACGGCACATTAAACACGGCGGGAGATGCTGCCTGGCAAGAGATCAGATCTTCCCGCAAGGTCTGGAGGTTGTCCTTCACATTCCGTGTCTGCCATCCGCTCCAGCAGTTTGCAAAGTCTGTGGCACGCCTCTGCACGCTTGCCTTCTGCAGCAATGGTCGTGCGCAAGATCTGGCCTTGGTCTGGGTGTGGTCAGAGCCGGAGCCTGGAGAGTCTGGGATGCCCACTGGCCGCGGAAAGCTCAGACCTGGCTGCGACGGGCTAAGGCTAAGACCACACACAAACACACAGGCGATGGCCTGATGTTGTCAACGACGGGCTGCAGCTGCTCGACATCCTCAAGCCTGCACTCCACAGCGACCCCTTCACCGCTTTCACTGCCTTCTCTCGGAGTTGGCCGCACCTGGAGGTCACCCGCTCGATGAAGGGCTCCAAGGCTCGAAGACCCCGTGCTGCAGCTTCGCCGTGCGACTGAGGCCGCTCTCCGAGCTTTTCTTGCTCTTGCTGTGCACACGTTCTGCCGGGCCTCAACATCCTGCAGTCGCGCCGAGATCTCGGTCAATGCCTTAGGAAGCGCACGGCATGTCGCATGTCTCGCTCACATGATTGCAGATAAGAGAAAGGTCAGCGGGCACACACACACACACATGCAACTATACATGCTTTACATACGGGACTCTGTTTGCATCTGACAATCCCTCTGATCATCTGTCTGTCTATCTACCTAACCACCGACCTACCTACCCAGCTACCTACCCACCTACCTCTTTCTTTATCCATCTGCCTTGCTACCTATCCACCTACCTACCTTTCTACCTACCTACCTTTCTACCTTTCTACCTACCTACCTACCCACCTACCTACCTACCTACCCACCGATCTACCTATCTCTCTATCTGACTCATCTAAATCTATCCATCCATCTATCTCTACCTCTGTCCGCCCTATCTCTCCAGCCAGCCATGTAGGTATCCGCTATCGATGTATACATGTAGAGAGCGAGAAAGAGAAAGAGAGAGAG